CAATTTCCCACAGCTGAATTTATAACCAAGTCTTGTATCTTCAGCAATAGATGAGAGGAATTGAGACAGAGATTCAGTCAGGAGTTCCAGAACAGCTGTAAAAAAAAAAAAAAAACCCAGCTAACTTGATGGACTATCTATCATGCAAAATATTGGGGCACAAAGGAAAGTCTGTGTATTTTTCACCCCTCTGAATCACAACCTGTTTATCACATGCTGTCTCTTCTGCAGCACAGATACGCCCCACTAGGTATTTGTAGAGGGCATGGCCTCATGACAACATCTCCATCTTATCACCTGCCAGTTGCTGATCAGCCAGAAGTCAGCAATGAAACAAGCGTTTCTAGTATTTTGTTCATATCCCAGCTCAAGACACTTCTCCTTCCATCTGGTTCCTAGCCTCTCTGCCTATCATGCAGTGCTATTTTGCCTGTAAGAAAACCAAAATCTTAACTTCTATAGCCACTTAGTATGCTGCATTTAAAAGTAAGTATTGACTTATCAAATTACTGATTGGCTTCTGCAAAAAAAAAAAAGAGAGAGAGAGAGCAGTGATAACAACAAAAGTCACTTATACCCTTTCTCAAACTCCTTCATTTCAACAATGTTTATCTAATCTCTATATCTGAGTGGAACAAATCTGAACAACCAAGAGAGAGCAACCAAGAAAGACAAAAAATCTCAAATTCTTTGCCACCGTCTAGTGAGTGGCTGGCCTATAAATATTCATCTGGTAAAGAATTAAATGGCAGATACATTGATGGCATAATTAAGACATGCAAGAGTTGTTAAGCATGTGCTGGCGCAGTGGTTAGAATGTAATATTACAGGTTAATTCTGCCGACTGCCAACAGTTTGATTCTAACCAGCTCAAGGTTGAGTCAACCTTTGATCCTTCCAGGGTTGGTAAAATGAGAACCCAGATTGTAGGGGGCAATATGCTGACTTTGTAAACCATTTAGAGAATGCTATAAAGCACTACAAAGCAGTATACAAGTGCTATTGCTATTCTAATAGGCATTCTGTAGGGCATTTGATAGTGGCCTCTCCCACAATTGGCAGGACTGGAATTTCAGGAAAGAAGTTTACCAGTTGCTATTCTTATAGGATAGACCTGGGCATTTTATGTCCCGCAGACCACATCCGGCCCATGGGTGGTTCCTATGTGGCCTGCAGTGGAGAATACGGTGGCAGCAGTGGCAGGTAAGTGGTGATGGTGGCAGTCACCCCCCAACAGTCCCAGTTTCTCATGTGAAATCTTGAGAAAATTGTCCAACCCTGTTTTGGGTCACACAGTAGAGCTGTAAAAACAACCACTCAGCAAGCTCTTTTCCAGTTGATATTAAGGCCTTGCTGTGAGGGCATGCTGACATGCTTCCTCCAAGTTCTGAGAAGGGATGGAGAGTCAGAGAAAGTGGCTGTGTCAATAAGCCCTAAGAGCTACTCAGATGTCTCTGCATCTGTGTTAGCGCTTAATTAGAGCTACACTGTTGCTGAAGTAACAGACTCTAGAAGTGTCCTGTTTGAGGTCCAATCACCTGATCATCCCAGAACAAACAAAAATGTAAACTTGGACTGATTTATAAATAATAGCAATGTTGAGTGATAAGATTATTCTATATCTCTTAATAGTATATTAAAAGTACAATTCTTCTCAAAATTTTAAGTTGGGATGCTGGCTACGGATCAAATGTACTACTGGCCTATAAAGTAGTTGTTGCATCCATGACAGTACTAGGTAAGTGCCTACTAACCACCTGTTTTATATTAATAATCAACTTTCAATCTGTTCTTGTTTCTGAATTAGATAACACAAGTTTTCAGCTACTTTAATTTGTTTAATTTTAAAAAAGATTTAGCCAGTGGTAGGATTCAAATTTTATTAATACCAGTTCTGTGGGCGTGGCTTGGTGGCCATGGCATGGCTTGGTGGGTGTGGCAGGGGAAGGATACTGTAAAGTCTCCATTCCCTCCCCACTCCGGGGGAAGGCTACTGCAAAATCCCATTTCCTCCCGATCAGCTGGGACTCAGGATGCAGAGAATAGATGGGGGCAGGGCCAGTCAGAGGTGGTATTTACTAGTTCTCCAAACTACTCAAAATTTCCGCTCTCCGGAACTGGACAGAACCTGCTGAATACCACCTCTGGCAGGGTAGGTTCTACTTACCTTTACTACCGGTTCACAACGGGAGTGCGTGTGCACATGCGCTGATTGTCAATTATGATCTCCAGGTGGGTGGGCGGAGCCTCCCGCCGCTTTTACTACCGGTTCTAAAGAACCAGACAGAACCAGGAGCAACCCACCACTGACCTCTGGATTTAGCACCTGCAACATAGAGCAAATTCAAAGGTTGATGTTTGCCATTTGGGAATGTGTTGATCTACAGTTTCTACAGTAATAGTGTATGCTGTACTATGTAAGGCTATAAGAATCCACTTTCATAGTATTGCCCGGAAAACTAAATGGATCTGCCAAGGTCAACTTGAGAAAGATGTTCCTTCTTTTCATTCAAACGATTGTTAATATGTAAATTTATCCTTTAGTTCCTTAACTAATGAAACTATTTGGGTCTGAAATGGTGCTTTTCAAGAGCTGAATCTCAATCCTTCTGTGTGTCAATATGCATATCCATGTTATAGTTGGATATTTGTTTATGTGTGCTGAGAAAACTAGACTTGCATATCAGAAGCAAAAAGTAATAAATGAGCATTTGCTCTTTTCATGGTCTTATTCTTTGTCATTTATTGAATAATTTCAGGGTAATCTATACGATGCAGAGAGTTGTACAAAGTTCTAATTATTTAACTGGATTCATGACAATGACAGAATGGAATTGTAGGGTTTTTTAATGTCTTTTTTTCCCCAAAAAAGGTAATGTTCAGATTCTTTTCATATTATCTGCATCATTAATTTTACCAATCAATATGCAAAAAAATATTCTTTTTTGGCACCAATCAACAGTTCAACAAACCATCCCTCTCTTTTAACAAAGAAAAAATAAATGAAATGCAATTTATTTGTAAATCAGAGGAAAATATGGAGTAATGGTGGTTGTGCACAAAATTCTGTGAATTCCTCCACCCTTTACTTTTATGTTTATTTAAACTATCCAGATAAGATAGTTTACTTCACACACAAACTGCTTTTGTTTAGCAATACGTTGGACTTTGCGGTCAGCATAGTCTCTAAAAATAGGTAACAAAAAAGTCAGATCAGTAATATTGATTTTAATCTTCTCTGTGTTAGAATTTTGCTGAATACTTATGTCAAGGCAAATCATTAACTTTAAAAAAAAATCCAAGATCCCTAATAAGATAATGCCGTTGTGATAGAAATTTAAAATTATAGCATGCATACTCCAATGTTGGTACCTCTAAATAAACATTTCACAGTTTATCTTTCTGTCGCATTATGTAACAAGTATATAATGCCGAATTCAAGAGAAGCCTGCTATGGATAATTACTTGTTTTTCTCTACTACTTTTTTTTTTTAATTTATAGCTCATTTTGCATACATGCTATGAAATACAGCAATATGTTTCCAAGAAGAAAAATGCAGATAAAGCTTATTTTCTTCTGGTTTGATTTTTTTTTCCTTGAGAGTATTTCTTCTTGTACAGCAGTATTTTGATTGCAGCTTATATCAAATCAAATCACATCTATTACAACACTGGGATCACAGTTAAATTACTTTTGGATTTAGAGCCTGTATATTTTTTTAAAAATGCATTTCCTATGTTCCATATGTAAAAGACTACAGTAAGCAATACCAATCATATATATATATAAAGGTGCTTTATATATATATAAAGCACCTTTCTTTGAATTATCCATTAGGAAAATAGTGAAGCAGAATAGCTGTTCTCATATACATGTTCAAGATTACCAACAATAATTTATAAAGAAGCCAAGCAAGCTATGGCTGCTTTAATGATTCCAGAGATTACTGCATTGCCAAGTGGTTCTTTTCCAGCATGTACTGTGAACATAATGTTCTTTATTATAAAGGACAGTCTTTCATTTTAGAAAGCTGTCATTTAGATTTATTCATTTTGCAAAAAGTCACATTTGTCCTTTATTTTGGCCATTTAACTTTTACCATACAAATGGTATCACTTAATGCACAGTCTGATTGCAGAAATCCTTTCTATTACTTGCTTCTTAGCTTTTTATGGCTTTTAGATATTTTTTATTAGAATATATGTTCTTGTAGAGTTTAACCTTGACTTTGCTTTTGAACTTTCCTTTGTAAAGCAGTTACATACCCCCCCTCTTTTTTAAAAACCTTATGAACCTCTTTCAGATTTTATCTTTTTCAGGATTATCCTTTATTTTTCCAAGAAAATATGGTCACTGTACCAATCAGTCAGCTGCATAGCTAAAAGAAAGTCTATCTTTCCATTAATGATCTTAACCTTTGATTGTTTGAAGAATTGTCTTTGCATAGAATGTCAGAATTAAGGTGGCTTTGAGGGCATATGCAGTCCCTGACATCTTTATTGGCCAGTAAAATATATCAGTGAAATATATCACTGAGTTGAAAACATATTATCTTGTTTTATTTGGGGGGGGAAGAATAATTTAAACAAATAATTATCATGAAATATGTTTTCTATACTTGAGCAAATTTTTCCAGCATTTAGCTTATAGCTGAATAAGTTCTGTCTCCTTCCCAGAAGAAATACAGTGTACTTATTATAATGCACTAACACCTTTTTAGTGTTTAGAAAAACTCATAACATTATGATGGAAATACCTTCCATTATGTACTTAAAGGATATGTAGAAAATCTATATAGTTTAATAAATCTGGACCAGTCCTGAAATTGCACTTTAACTAATATGTTAGTTCATATTCAGTTCTTCAAGCCGATATGTTTATACAACTATACTACTTGTGTTTAAAATTGTTACCTTTTAATGTACTCAGCATCATGCCTTACTATTAAATAAAATCCTGTGTAAGAATACTACTGTAACGCATCTAATTTTCATTCCAGGCACGGGTAAACCCAATCAATGTTACACCACCAATACAAGCTATAGATCAGGATCGCAACATCCAGCCTGCTTCTGATCGCCCAGGAATACTCTATTCCGTCTTAGTTGGTTAGTATTTGATAATTTCACTGTCTCTCACAAAGACTGCAATAGGAGGAGGCAGGCAAAGATTATGTGGAGAGTAGAAAACAAATGATGGATTCATACTGAGTTGTGTTGTATATTGGGTGTTGTTCTAGGCAAATACTTTTTTTGCATGGTTCCTAAGTGTCTTGTTTATTACGAATTATGGAAATTTAGCCCCTTCCTTCCTTTGTTTATAATAAAGGAAGTAGATAGAAGAATCCAATCAATTGCTTATTGATATATTGTGTCGTTGATTCTGTTGTGTTGCACTAGTAAAAGAAAAATCATAGTAGACAGCAATAAACCACTATATTTTCACACTGAGACACCAGTGGCAATATGCATGAAAACAAAGCGATATTTTTATGTGAAAGACTCATACTGTCTTGTCTACTAATTATCAGACCTTACATTCAACTCGTCAGTTGCCACTTTTCTTCTGAATAAGTTGGTTATGAACCATCTTTGGTTATCATAGTACAACGTGCACCATAACACAACAAGCTATTGCAAAAGATTCCGGGATTACTGATGATATCTCCAGTTAAATGAAGGAGATTCAAAGTGATGAAAAAACTTGGAGAATCTTTAGCAATCTGAGTTCTGGGCTGTAGATACTAACATTATTGGGTGATAGAAAGCAGTTACTTCTATTCCTTATTGTGTGGTTAAATATCTCCTTAGTTACATGTTGCATTTAGTGGTAATCTTTTCTCAATTTCTTGGGCAACCAAGCACATATTTGTCTTACATTTGTTTCTCATTGCACCATTGTGTTACAATTCCATTGTTAGTAATCACTGCAATTAGCAGTGCTTAGATAATCAACAGTGGCACTTGTTCAAAATTAGCTGCTTAATTCAAAATAATGCTCAAGACTGGCATCACCAGATCCCGCTAAAGGGTAGACCTTTTTTTTTAATATTGAAAATTTTTTATTTTTTTTTATAAACAAACATACATACAATATATAATCAATCAATCAGTGTATCATCTGAATACATCTTTTTTCCTCTTACTCCTCCAATATTTATCATATCTTAATATTATCATTTCATTTGTTGTAACATTTTCCCCACATTTACTTTTATATTTGTACCTTTATCTATTCAACAATTTTATCCCAACCCAACCCTCCCCCACCCACCCACCACCGACTTCCCAGAGCAAAAACAGGGTATAACATTTAACAAGCAAAAGCTAAACTATACTAACCTACTACAAAGTTTAAAACTCCCTCACACTCTTTAACGCCTCTTTTGCAAATTCATCAACCTCCCTTTTGTAAATTCTCAAAATCAGTCGGGTTAAATTCTTTCTTCCTGAATATAAAAGCCTTTTTCTTGGTATATAATCCAGTAACTTTACCAATATTACAAGCATTAACAAACACTGATAAGTTTCAATAAGATTCTAAATTAAACATTTATCCTCTTTATTCCTTCATAAACCAATTATCAATTTCTAACTATTCAGCATTAAAAATACTAAATTAAACATTTTAAAACTTTAAACATTTTATCACCTATACCTTTTAAAATAATATAATCTTATATTAAACATTTTAAAAACCTCTTAATGCATCAATAAGACCTTCTTAATTCATTTCTCAAAATATAAATTCCAAAACCTTCAGGAAACTATCCCTTTAATTTTTAATTAACCATTTCTATATTTTTCCCTCTTTAATCCTTCATAAAATTAAACATTTTAAAACTTTAAACATTTTATCTCATATACCTTTAAAATACTATAATCTTATATTAAACATTTTAAAAATCTCTTAATACATCAATAAGACATTAAGTCATTTCTCAAAATATAAATTTCAAGCCCTTCAGAAAAATATCCCTCAAATTTTTAATTAGCCATTTTAATACCTCGATACCTCTTAAAAAGCTATCATTTTTACCTTGATAACTCTTAAAAAGCTATCATTTTTATATCCAAAACCAATTATAATAACACACTATATTATTATCTTAGAATAAACTTTAAAAATACAAATTTAATTAAGCTTCTCAACCTATAGCCAAAATCCCCCCCAAAAAAATCTTCAATTCTTCCCTTCTTTCTATATTTTTTCCAGTCCTTTTTCTTCAATAATTCTTTCTTCTTCAGCATTGCTCCTCCTCCTGCTTTTATTTTCCAAAATTTTAAAATTTGGATTTGAAGTTGATGTCTCTTTGAAAGTTTTTGTAAAGTTATTTTCAACAATACTTTCTCCTTCAGCATTGCTCCTTCCCCTGCTTTTATTTTCAAAAATTTTTGGATGTAGATTTGAGACTGATGCATCTTTGAAGATCGCTCTCTCTAAAAGTTATCTCCTTCATTTTGAAACCTCCATTTCAACTCTTCCTGCTTATATAATCAGTCACTTCCTCTCTTAAAAGTTGATTCTGTCTGTAAAACCAAGAATTGTCCCAATAAAGTTTATCAGTCTGCAGGAAAGAGTCTATTTGCTGCTTTTCAATTAACTGCATAGAAGCCTCTGCCAAAACTTCTGTTTTCAATGTGGTATCTTCCATTGTGTCCCTGACAGACTCTTTTCCCTGCTCCAAAGACAAGTTAATTTGATTTCCTTCCTCTTTTCCAGCCAGCAAATCATTTTTGTTCTCCAGATTATAATTTTGAAAAGTCCTTTCAATTGATTCCAGTATAGCAGAAGTATAGAAATTTAAAAGTTCTTGTAAAACCTCTACAGTCACAACTTGTGAATTTGCTGGCTCATATAGTAATGATCCTCCATCCTTGATGTCAGCCATATTTCAAATCCCAGTTTAAGTTTGTTCAGCTATCAGGTCAATAAATCCAATATTTTTCCACTCAATTTAGAGGTATAAAGTAGTTAAAGTCAATACTGTAGTCTTTTTCATTTCACTAGCACTTTAAATCTTTTTCTTGCCACGTAATCCGGTAGCTTTTACAATGTTGCAGCTTTAACAATCACTTTCACTTATAAGTTTCATTTTAAACGCCCTTAAGCGCCATCTTTTTTCCTTTTTCTTTTAAATGGAGTTAAAGTTTAATACTTGCACTTTTTGTTCTCCTGATTTGCTCTGCCAGCATCCAGGTTTGAATTTAGTCCTTAAAATTGCGCTGCTGGTGTGGTCGCGACCCCTTGTTCTGCTTAAAGCAGAATCGTCCCGGATCCGGAGCACTGAAGGGCTTTCAGGGAGCTCTGACCCTGCAAACCCCAGGCTTAAAAAAAAAAAGCTTGGGGGTCTAGGGGAGCTCTACCCAGACCCTTCTGCTCTTCTCTCCCCCTTTTTCCCTGGGGGAGAGTTTCGAGCTGCTAGAACAGCTGATTTTCGCTGTTCTAGCGGCAAACGGAATCACGGGGCTGGAGCTCCTAAAGGAGCGTCCATTCGGGAAACGTGGAGCCATCGGAAGTCCAGGGTAGACCTTTGAAGACGTGAACTTACTGTATGTTTTGCAGGATTCAACAACTAAAGAAATAAACTAGGAACACTGTTTTAAGTTAAAAGTTGCTGTGATACATGTTTCTTTTACCAAAGAAGCACTGGATTAAACCTAAATAAACCACTAAATGGAATAAAATGGATTCCTGTTTTAATTATTCAACATGTAAGATATAATCCAGCTTTTCTTTTGAATAAGACTTCAAAAGTCTTATTCAAATCTCCAATAACTTAATCAGGATTTAGTTTCTATTTGAATTTAAGATGGGTCATTTAATCCAAATTGTTTTATTATGGAAAAAGTAGAAGAAATTGAGGGTAGGGTGTGCTTTGCAACAATTGCACAACCATCTCCAATATACAATACAGGCAGAAGATACCCAATAAAGCTGTAACAAAATATAACAAAAGTAGCTTGCTGCAAGGAATCAAAATTAAGTATTTGATCCTATCTAAATAGAAGATGAAACAAAATTTCAACAGATTTGTGGGATGCCATTGTAAATATTATGACAGAGATTTCAGAGTATAAATCAAAAGTTCCTCAACCCAAGAACAAAATAAAATATACCATCCTTAATAACATGGATAAATAACATTTCCACATTATACTTTCTTTATTCTCTGAACACTACATATATTTTAAAGCAACAAAGAATATTATGAAGTTTTATAAAACATATTTGTTGTGACACAACTGTGAATCACAATGTAGTTTATCAGGATAGGAGGAATATTTCTTGTCTCCAGTGAACCAAACAATGATCCACAAAAATCTAGAACTCTTAAAATTGCTGCAAGATTCTCTGACCTCCTTTTTAATCATAAGATCATTTCCTTGCCAATATGGAATAGGTTATCCTGAACCATCAGATTTCATGCCCCTAATATTAAGGAAATATGAAATATGATGCCAAGCACTACCCACAACCCCTTTGCTCAGATCTGGCACCCCGGTCTAATATTTACAGAAATCTATTTCAGTCACTTTGACGATGTGTTGCTAATTTTCATCAACAGATAGAAGCCCCAGCTACTGATTTTCATAGGACAATTCATCAGCTGAAGTGGCATCACCATAGTACTTCTTCTTAGCAGATTTCAGTTAAATCAGTTTCTAACACAGATTTCTAAAATAGGTTTCTCTGACACACACACACATCCAAAGTTGATAGAAGAGCACAGTCCCTCTTTTACCCATTGAACAATTCATAATTATATGCCTAGGTAATTCAGATGCAATTTTGCAAATTGTATTACTTTTCCTGAACATCCACTTGACCTGTGAAATGTATTTCTTTTTCTGTTTAAACACCTTCAGAATCTACATCTGTTTTCTTCCATTAGTTCAATTCCTCTTGCTGCTCAGCTGTCATTGATTGCTACAAAAATTGTCATGTTTTTGGTAAGAGTAACAGATAGTAAAGTAGAGAAGAATAGATTATATTACAGCTAGATTTACAGAGCTGGGACGTTTCAGACTTCTCAGCCCATTTGATGAACTAATTATAAGTTGGTTTACTATGTGAAACATCTGTGTTCACATTTCATTTAACATAT